TAATTTTTTTCTGAATTTCTGAAAGAACTACTTCATTAATGACTTAATATGTCAGTTGTACATAGTTTTCTTTCTTTAAAATGTTTCTATTCAGAAAAAAAAACTTCATTTGATAAAATAGGAATTTAACTATTATAATACATAGAACATAACTGGTACTGCTCTTAGTTATAGGCATAATTTTTCTTTTTATAAATATTAAAATTCTTTCAATATATCAGCTAAACTTTACTACATGAGGAAAAATTAAAGTGGTTATTTGACTTCCATATGATCAAATTTGAAGTTGAATGTTGTGATTTCACTCATGATGTACTCAGTTTTAATATAAGAAACCTCATATTCTGAGTTTGGGGGTATTTCTTTCATTTAGAATATTGAGGTGTAAATGTGATTCCAACAGAGAGGTGAGGGCAAGCAAAAGAAAAAAATACTCAAAGATTGAAAAAATATAGATAGAGGTGGAGACTGACATGTCTATATTTCCACATCAAAGAAACAGTTTACAGAATTGGAAATGATTCTTAGCAACTCCACATATGATAGAGCGCTAATATACAAATATAAAAAGAACTTGGAAACTAGATATAAAAAAAAAACAAATAATCCAATGAAAAATAGGGTAGAGATCTAAACACAGAATTCTCAATAGAAGAACATCAAAAGTTTGAAAAACACTTCAAGAAATGCTCAACATCCTCAGTCTTTAGGGAGATGAAAATTAAAACTATGATGTGGGAGTGATTTATTTCTAATCTGTTGCTTTCATTGGTTAATTAATAAAGAAACTGCCTAGGCCCATTTGATAGGCCAACCCTTAGGTGGGTGGAGAAAACAGAACAGAATGCTAGGAGAAAGAAAGCTGAGTCAGGTAGTCGCCATGATTCTCCCACTCCAGAAAGACACAGGTTAAGATCTTCCCTGGTAAACCACACCTCGTGGGCTACACAGATTATTAGAAATGGGTTAGATTAATATGTAAGAGCTAGCCAATAAGAGGCTGGAACCAATGGGCCAGGCAGTGTTTAAAAGAATACAGTTTCCATGTAATTATTTCGGGGTAAAGCTAGCCGAATGGAGGAACGTAGCCCACAGCTCCCTATTACAACAAAACTAGTTTTGGATTCCATCTTATATGTGTCAGAACAGTTAAGATCAATAAAATAAGCCATAGCTCATGCGGGTGAAGATGTGGAGTAAGAGAAACAATTTTCTATTCCTGGTGGGGAGAAAACTTGTACAAACCCTATGTAAATCAATATAATATCTTCTCTAAAAGTATAAAATTTATCCATTTCAAGTCCTCGTTATACCATTCTTGGATTTATACACAAACATATTCTGTCCAACCACAAGGACACTTGCTCAACAATGTTAATTGCAGGTTTATTTATAAAAGCAAGAAATTAGAAAAAAAAAAGATCATAAAGAAAATGTGTTGCATTTACACAATAGAGAATTATTCCGCTTTATAAAAAATGAACACCATGAAATTTGAAGGCAAATGAATGGAACTAGAAAAAAATTATACTGAGTGAGGTGACACAGACTCGGAAAGACAAATTTGTTATGCAGTCACATAAAGGGAGATGTTAATCACTGGGTTAATAAAACAAACAAACAAACAAACAAAAAAACACACAATCTATAGACCCAGGGAGGTTAGGCAAAGAGAGGATGGTTAGAGGGGATACAGAATCTCCCTGAGTGAGGGAAATAGAATAGATTTTACAAGCAGAATAGAGGCAAGTGAAAATGGGGGGGGGGATAACATAAGGGATGAAGGAGTTAAGGAACAGAGTGTAGAATGATACCCAATTTGGGGAAGGCATTTGAGGGTGTTGTGTTGAAACCACATGCAGTGGGAAACTACTACAAAATATTTTAGTACTTTTATGAGATCCTGACTGGGAGAAGTGGCCCTCTGACTCTTTTGCCTGCTCTTGGGACTCTTTTTTATTGTTGGGTTGCCATGTTCAACTTTGATGTGATCATTTTTGCTTTGTCTTATCATGTATTATATTGTTACCTTTTATTATTTCTTAGAAGCCCGTTCTTTTTGTTTTATCTATTGCTTGTTTTTTCTGTTCATTTTTTCATTTTATAACACAACCAAACTTTCTCCTCTCTCCCCTGTTCCAAATTTCTCACCCAATCCCCACCCCAATCCAGTTCATCTCCACTGTTTCTCTGCAGCTGTATGTCAGTATCCCTTGGATTTCAGCAAGCCATGGTATATCAAGATGCATCAAGACTAGGCATCTCCTCTTCTATTAAGGCTGGATGAGTCAACCAGTAGGAGTAATGGGTCCCAAAATAGTCCATGCTCCTACTCATAGGAGTCCAACAAGAAGATAAAACTACACAAATGTAATATATAGGTGGAGTGCCTATGTCAGTCCCATGCAGTTTCTGTGAGTCCCTGTGAGCCCAGGTTAGTTGATTCGGTAGGATTCCTTGTGGTATCATTGACACCACTGGATTCTACAATCCTTCCTTTCTCCCTTTCTTCCACAGTATTCCTTGAGTTCTGCCTCATGTTTGGCATTGAATCTCTGTATTTGTTTCTATAATGTGATGGGTAATGCCTCATTGATGCATTGATGAGTACAGCAGAATATCATTAAGAATCATTGCATTGGCATTTTTGTCATTCCTGTTTTGACATTGCCTGTTTATATGGAGACAATCATGGACACAACACACCCCACACAAATACACACACACTGCAGCTATCCAATATCCCCTACACAAGTACACACCACAAGACCCCAAAATATACATATGCACACAGTCACAACACACAAACCAAAACATAACTTCACACACATGCACACACCACAAATCCCTCACACCTCACAGTCAAGATACTCACACACTCAAATACACACACATATCACAGAAAGAAAGAGAACCAAAGAATAGATAGTAATAATCTATTTCTGCCTGTCCCACACTGCCTCTCTCTTATTTTTCAAGTCAGGGTTTCTTTGTATATCCCTGAGAGAGTACAGTCAGCTGTAACTTGTTCCAGAAAGCATAGTATAATGAATTGTGTGTGTGTGTGTGTATTAAATTGTCAAAGTTTAAAGTGTTCTACACATTGTCTACCTCTAATCTTCCCTTCCCATGATTTGGTTTTCTCAAAGTAAAGACATTGTCTATAATAGAATGATGGTTTTATAACTTATGTTGTTATTCTACTTTTATAAAGTAAAAGTAAATATTCAATTTTGCTCATTATTATTTTCACAAGCCAAATAGATCAATATACATTAATTCATGATGCCACCATTTTTTTATATTTACTCTTAGTCAATATAGTCTAATCACTTTTTAATTGTGAATTATCAGTTATTTTTAAGAAATTTCTGACTCCTGTTTATAGATATTTAGAAAGAGTGGTATGATTGTTTTCTCTAGATTTATTCATATAGTTGGGGTTATTGAAGACAAAATTTCTATTTTATGAGACTATTTACACTGTATTAGCAGCTGAGTCTTATTTAACTTTATTAATAGAGTGAGGACTATTGTTTCATCAATTACATTTAAAGACAAATAGAATGCTCACTATGGGTAGGCATTCGGTTCTGTGCATGAATTATCTTATTAAACTCTTAAATCTTTACAAGACTAGTCATCTGAGTTCATCTTTGAGATTATGAAGCTACTCTGAAGAAAAACTAGCACTCCCCTTGTGAACACCTAATGAACAACATAGGCAAAGAGTAGTATACAGGTACATGCTTCCCCAAATCTATCTGAAGCAGCAGGTCATGCTGACTTCCACACCTAATTCTGCTTCTATAAACATATGTTGCAAATTTATTTCCTAATTCCAGTAAATCACAAGGAAACACATGACACACCAACAAATGCAAATTTAAGTGCTTGTCATTCTTGTAGAAACATACACTGTGAATTAAAATGTTGCTTTTGAATAAACTTTTTCATTATCCAATGACCATATTGGATAGACTCCAATATTAAAAACCATGCTGTACAAACTCCTACGCAAATATAAGCAAATGTAGTTCAGTCAATAATAAGTTAATATTAGGAAAGTAGAATTAAATATAACAATAATTCTCAAGAAATTATAATACTTGTATTGCCAGAACTTAATTATTGTAAATACCAAAATAAACACTCACTGAACATATTTATTGATAAATCTGTCCATTATGTCATTTCTCAAATAAGCATACTATCAAAACAGCAGTGAAAATACCCCTTCTCGTCTATTATAATGCTCATGTAAATATTTCTCACACAAAGGAACAGGATGAGGTAAAGTTCAAAGTAAACTAATAAAATCACCATAGTAGTTAATTTTTCCTGGGTTTTATGTTAAAATGAATTTCATATTATTTTATTATATTTTGTGCTTTGAATAATACTGCAAGTTTAAAATATAAGTAATGAGTGTTAAAATAACACTGGTGAATTATTCACATATCTTTGTAAATACACTCAAAAGAAATAAAAATAAAGTAAGAAAAGATGTGGTGTTTGTTTTGGCAACTGCTCCTATAAAGAAAAAAACAAATCCTGGAAACAAATTAAATGCCCTTCAACCAAAGAATGGATAAGAAAAATATGGTAAATTTATACAATAGAGTACTACAAAGCAGAAAAAATGACATCTTGAATTTTGCAGGAAAATGGATGAAGCTAGAAAACATTATTTCAAGTGAGGTAACCCAGCCACAGAAAGATAATTATCATATATATTCACTCATAGGTGGTTTTTACACATAAAACAAAGAAAACCACAATCCCAGAGAACTTAGACAACAATGAGGACACTAAGAGATACTTACATAGATCTAATCTACATGGGAAGTAGAAAAAGACAAGATCTCCTGAGTAAATTGGGAGCATGGATACTTGGGGGAGGGTTGAAGAGGAGGAGAGGTAGGGAGGGAAGCAGAGAAAAAAAAATGTAGAGTTCAAGGAAAATCAATAAAAGAGAAAGAAACACAAATAGTACATACCGAATAGTGTCAAGACACAGGCCAGTATTGCTATCAGAGCCCCAGTGCTGAGGCCAGCAGGTAGAACATAAGCCTCTGCATTGCAGGTTTGTGCTACACCATCAACATCACAGTCACAGACTCGAATGGTAAGGGTGTTGGTACTACTTAGTGAAGGAGATCCACTGTCCACAATAAAAATTGGCAGATAGTAAACTGATTGTTCCTGCCTGCGGAAGCCATTTCTCCTCGTAAGTATTGAAGCTGTGTTGTCTAGAATTAAGAACAAAAATGTATAATAAGCCTTAAAATGAACTTTATCTTCCCAAACTTAAAGTAAATCTTTTTTTTATTTTGCTCCTTAATAATAAAACATATATAGCATATATTTTTCAGCATCCCTCAAAAAATTTCTTTGGACAGAGAGATAAATTTTCTATGGAATTCATCTACGGTATTCTTGATACTCTACAAATAGCAAAGACACAATCATAATGTAAAATTAAGTGTTTTATTAAATGGAACTTTTATATATTTTAATATTTTTTGTAACTAAAATTTCAGACCATATACTTATAGAAAGATTGGTAACAATTTTCAGTTAGTAGCCTCTCCTATTTTAGCATCATTTCAAGTTCTTCCCTTGTTTGACAGGTTGCCATATTAGCCACAAACCCAGCCTTACAGAAAGTACTAAAAGGAAAACCACAAACCAAGAAAGCCAACAACACCATAATAACAAAGACATATGACAACCCTCTGCCAGCACAACTCAAAGAAGGGAAACACACAAACACTACCACAAGAAAAAAGTAGCCAGAGTTAACAACCACTGGTCATTAATACCACTTAATACCACAGGACTCAATTCACCTATAAAAAGCCACAGGAAAATTACAGGCCAAACTCACTCATGAACATTGATGCAAAAATTCTCAATAAAATACTGGCAAACTGAATCCAAGAACACATTAGGAAAATTATTCATTATGATCATGTAAGCTTCATCCAGAGATGTAGGGCTGGTTTAACATACACAAATCTATCAATGTAATCCAACATATAAATAAACTGAAAGAAAAAAAAAAACATATGATCATTTCAATAGATGCTGAAAAAGCATTTGACAAAATTCAACATCCCTTTTATGATAAAGATCTTAGAGAGATTAGGGATACAAGGGTCATACCTAAATATAATAAAAGCTATTTACAAGCAAGCTATTTATAATAATCAAATTAAATGGAGAAAAACTCAAAGGATACCACTAAAATCAGGAACACAACAAGGCTGTCCACTCTCTCCATACCTCTTCAATATAGTGCTTGAATTTCTAGCAATAGCAATAAGACAACATAAGGGGATCAAGGGGATTCAAATTGGAAAGAAAGAAGTTAAACTTTCATTATTTGCAGATGATATGATAGTGTACATAAGCAACCCCAAAACTCTACCAAAAAACTGCTACAGCTGATAAACACCTTTAGTAATGTGGCAGGATACAAGATCAACTCAAAAAAATCAGTTCCCCTCCTATACATAAAGGATAAGGAAGCAGAAAGGGAAATCAAAGAAGCATCACCTTTCATGATAGTCACAAATAGCAGAAAATATTTTGGGGTAATTGTAACCAAGGAAGTGAAAGATCTATTTGACAAGAACTTCTCCGAAGAAAAAAAAAATGAAGAGGATACTAGAAAATGGAAGGATCTCCCTTGCTCTTGGATTGGGAGGATCAACATAGTAAAAATGGCAATTCCATCAAAAGAAATCTATAGATTAAATGCAGTCCCCATCAAAATCCCATCAAAATTCTCCACAGACCTTGAGAAGAAAATAATCAACTTCATATGGAAAAACAAAAAGTCCAGTATGGGCAAAACAATCTTATACAACAAAGGAACTTCTGGAGGCATTACCATCCCTGACTTCCAACTCTATTAGAGCTACAGTATTGAAAACAGCTTGGTATTGGCATAAAAACAGAGAAGTTGACCAATGGAATTGAATAGAAGACCCAGATTTTAATCCACAAACCTATGAACACCTTATTTTCAATAAAGGAACCAAAAGTATACAATGAAAGAAAGAAAGCATCTTTAACAAATGGTGCTGGAATAACTGGACGTCAACCTATAGAAGAATGAAAATAGATCCATATCTATCACCATGCACAAAACTCAAGTCCAAGTGGACTAAAGACCTCAATATCAGTCTGAACATACTGAACCTGATAGAAGAGAAAGTGGGAAGTTCTCTACAACACATGGGCACAGGAGACCACTTCCTACATATAAACCTAGCAGCACAGACATTAAGGGCAATATTGAATAAATGGAATCGCCTAAAACTTTACAGAAGCTTCTGTAAAGCAAAGGACACTGTTATTAAGACAAAAAGGCAGCCTACTGACTGGGAGAAGTTCTTCACCAACCCCGCATCAGACAAAGTTCTGATCTCCAAAATATATAAAGAAATCAAGAAACTAGACTTTAAAATGCTAATTAATCCAATTAAAAAATGGGGCACTGAAATGAACAGAGAATTCTCAACAGAAGTTCAAATGGCTAAAAGACACTTAAGGACATTCTCAACCTCATTAGTGATCAGGGAAATGCAAATCAAAACAACTTTGAGACACCATCTTACACCTGTCAGAATGGCTAAAATAAAAAAACACCCAGGATAGCCTTTGCTGGAGAGGATGTGGAGTAAGGGGAACACTCATCTATTGCTGGTGGGAATGCAAACTTGTGCAACCACTTTGGAAATCAGTGTGGCAGTTTCTCAGGAAATTCAGGATCAACCTACCCCAGAACCCAGCAATACGACTCTTGGGAATATACCCAAAAGATGCCCTATCATACTACAAAAGCATTTGTTTGGCTATGTTCATAGCAGCATTATTTGTAATAGCCAGAACCTGGAAACAACCAAGATATCCTTCAATGGAAGAACGGATGAAGAAAGTGTGGAATATATACATATTTGAGTACTACTCAGCATTAAAAATAAAAAGACTTCGTGAATTTTTGATGTGGGAGTGGTTTCTTATTAATAAAGAAACTGCCTAGGCCCCTTGATAGGCCAACCCTTAGGTGGGTGGAGTAAACAGAACAGAGTGCTGGGAGAAAGAAGCTGAGTCAGGGAGTCGCCATGGTTCTCCCACTCCAGACAGACACAGGTTAAGATCATCCCTGGTAAGCCACCTCCTGGGCTACACAGATTATTAAAAATGGGTTAGATTAATATGTAAGAGCTAGCCAATAAGAGGCCAGGCAATGTTTATATGAATACAGTTTTCGTGTAATTATTTCGGGGCATAAGTTAGAGCTAGCTGGCAGCCGGGAGCTGGGGTGGCACGGAAGCGGCCCACAGCTCCTCACTACAAAGTTTGCATGCAAATGGACAGAAATAGATAACACTATCCTGAGTGAGGTAACCCAGACCCAAAAAGATGAACATGGAATGTAGTCACTCATAATTGGTTTCTAGCCATAAATAAAAGTCTTTGAGCCTATAATTCGTGATCCTTAGTGAAGCTAAATAAGAAGGTGAACCCAAAGAAAAACAGATATTTATCCTCCTGGATATTAGAAGTAGACAAGATTGCCAGGCAAAAATTGGCAACTTGAGGGTGGGGTGGGGAAAGGGGAGATGGGGAGAGAAAAGTGAGAAGGGGAGGATGGGGAGAGCTTGGAGGAATGGGATGTTTGGGATAAAGGAAGGATGGATATAGGAGTAGGAAAGTATATATCCTAAGGGAGCCATTTTAGGGGTGGCAAGAGACTTGACTCTGGCGCACTTCCCAGGGGTCCAGGGTGATGTCCCCAGCTAGTTCCTTAGGCAGCTGAGGAGAAGAATCCTGAAATGGCCCTGGCCACATTGATGAATATCTTGCATATCACCATAGAACCTTCACCTGGCGATGGATGGAGATAGAGACAGAACCTACACTGGAGCATCGGGCTGAGCTCTTGATGTCCAAATGAGGAGCAGAAGGGAGAACATGAACTAGGAATTCAGGACTGCGAGGGGTGCACCCACCCACTGAGAGGGTGTGGCTGATTTAATGGGATCTCACCAAGGTCTCCTGGACTTGGATTCAAAAAGCACGGGATAAAACCAGACTCTCTGAACACGCCGGACAACGAGGTCTGCTGTGAAGCCAAGCATGGGGTTTTGATCCTACTGCTTGTACTGGCCTTGTGGGAGCCTAGCCTGTTTGGATGTTCACCTTCCTAGACCTGGATGCGGGGGAGGGGGGGGGACACCTTTGACTTCACTCAGGGCAGGGAAACCTGACTGCTGTTCAGACTGGAGAGGGAGGAGGAGGGGAGTGGTGGGAGGGGGAGGAAAATGGGAGGCGGGGAGGAGGCAGAAATTTTTAATAAAAAAAAAAGAAAGAAAAAAAGAATGGGGAAATGTTAGGGATTAGAGTCTTCTATTAGATGCAAAGTTCTGATGGAAGGAAATGTCTATCAATGTTAATTAACCAAGGACAGGTGTTGAGTAAGAATAAAGCCTTGATGGAAAAAAAAAAGGCACAGGTTAAGACAATGGATACAAAAATAGGATCTGCTGTTTACAAGAAACACACCTCAACTTCAAAGACAGAGTAAAGTGTTGGGAAAAGAATTTCCAATCAAATAGACCAAAGAAACAAGCAGGTGTGGCTATACTAACATCTAACAAAATTGATTTCAGACTAAAACAAATCAGAAGAGATGGTGAAAAACACTTTATACTCATAACAGGAACAATTCAACAAGAGGAAGTCTCAATCCTGAATATCTACACCCCTAATATAAAAGCACCCACATATGTAAAAGAAACATTACTAGAACTCAAAGCATACATGAAGCCCCACACTCTAATAGTACGAGATTTCAACAGTCTTCTCTCACCAATGGACAGGTCAATCAGACGCCACTGAGACGGTGTGACTGATCCAATGGGAGCTCACCAAGGCAAGGTGGACTGGGACTGAATGAGTATTTGATCAAACCAGACTCTCTGAATGTGGCTGACAATGAGGGCAGACTGAGAAGCCAATGATAAGGACACAGGGTTTTGATTCTACTTCATGTAGTTTTAAAAATGAAAAACAACAAGCTAACATCAATTGCATATTAAGAAGCACAAAGTAATAATTTCATATTCAACTGTAGCAAAAAGCTAACCATAATTTTAGATTAGATAAAATATAAAAGGATCAGTTTGTATTTTATCTATTTTTACATTTGCAGATTTTTGAGATGGTTACCGAAATC